TTTAAAGTCTTATCAGAATGCAGGACCCTCGTGGTAGATCTAAAAAAACCCCAAGCTTGCTCAGCACATATCAATGCTTTTTCTCTAAAGAAAAAAAAAAGAGCTACTACAGGCCAAGCACAGAATCACAGAATAAATTCAGTTGGAAAAGACATCCCAGATCATCGAGTCTGAACTACGACTGAACACCACCACGTTAATCAGACCATGGCCCTGAGTGCCACATCCAGTCTTTCCTCAAACACCTCCAGCAGCAGTGATTCCACCACCTTACAGGGCAGCCCATTTCAGTACCAGTCACCTTTTCTGTGAAGAATTTCTTGCTAATGTCCAACCTGAATCTCTCCTGGCACAGCCTGAGATAATGTCCTCTCATCCTGTCACTGGTCATTGTGAGAGGAGGCTGACACCCTCCTGCCAGGGCGTTGCAGAGCAGTGAGGTGCCCCCAAGCTGAACACTCCCAGCTCCCTCAGCCACTCCTCACAGGACTTGTGCTCCAGACCCTTCCCCAGCTCCGCTGCCCTTCTCTGGACACGCTCCAGCACCTCAATGTCCTCCCTGTAGTGAGGGGCCCAGAACTGGACACAGCTCTCGAGGTGTGGCCTCACCAGTGCCCAGTACAGGGGACAATCACTGCTCCTGCTGGCCACACCACTGCTGATCCAGGCCAGGATGCCCTTGGCCTTCTTGGCCCCCTGGGCTCGCCCTGGCTCATGTTCAGCTGCTGTCACCAGCACCCCCAGGTCCTTTTCCACCGGGCAGCTTCCCAGTCACTCTGCTCCTGCCTGTAGCACTGCCTGTGGCTGCTGTGACCCAAGGCAGGACTCAGCACTTGGCCCTGTTGAACCTCATTCTGTTGGTCTCAGCCCATTGATCCAGCCAGCCCAGATCCCCTGCAGAGACTTCCTGCTCTCCAGCAGATCAACACTGCCACCCAGCTTTGTGTTGTCCATGAATTTACTGGCAGCGCACTTAATCCCCTTATCCAGATCATCAGTCAAGATACTGAACAGGACTGGGCCCAATACTGAGCCCACGGGACACCACCAGCGACTAGAGCATTGTTGATACCTGAAGATTTTGCTTGGATGCCAGTATCAAATTAAAATTTTTAACAGTGTAAATTTTAAAAAAATAAAATCACTTGCTAATGTTTCTGAACATATAGGTCCAGCGAAGTTTCCAAAAAGTCTGAAACAGAGATAAGCCACTTTTTGCAAGTAACAGAGGAAAAGGTCATTCAAAAGAAGAAATTTATTTGAATACTGAGAATCCATACCTCCTTCTTAGTCCAAGCCATGCACACACAGCAATTTGATAAGGACTTGGTCATATTAGAGATACTTAAAAGAGAACCCCATAAAATCATTGTGTGACCTTCTGGTAGTATTTTGAAACTGCTACCTGGGACAACCTTGGTCTTCTAATTTATTAAAATATTCCCTACTATACACAAAATGTTTAAAAACATTGCAACTTTTTTTTTTTTTAATTATTTGCAGCCATGATGCTCAGTAATAAATTTTACTTATTTCCCTGTCACATTTTGAATAAAAGCTATGCAAATGCATCTATGAGATGGCTCCTGTATTGCTATTAATGGGAATTTATTCTCCCATCCCAATAAGTCTTTCTATACATGGAATAAACCAGTACTGAAGGGAGAAGTGTATTTTGCATGAAGGATAACACCATAACTAAACAGTGTATTTTAATATTACTTCTAAAAACATGGAGAAGCCCAATACTCAAATTCCTGCCAGACTGAGCAGTATGGGAAGTATAGTTTATGATGGTGTCCTGCTTTCAGCTGGGATAGGGGAGCTACTTTTCTTCCTAGCAGCTGGTACCGTGCAGTGCTTTGGATTCAGTATGAGACTAATGCTGGTAACACACTGATACTTTGGCTGTTGCTGAGCAGTGCTTACCCTAAATCCAGAATTTCCAGTTTCCCACACTCTGGCAGTGAGCAGGGGCACAAGAAGCAGGGAGGGAGCACGGCCAGGACAGCAAACCTGAATGTGCCAAAGGGCAATTCCATCCCATGGAGCATCTCAAGGTCAGTGTATGAACTGGGGGCCTGGTCAGGAGCTGCTGACTGCTCGTCAGGGACAGGCTGGGCACGGGTCAGAGTGTGGTGAGCAATTGTGTTGTGCATCACTTCTGTTTCTTGGGGCTTATTCCTCTCTCCCTTTTCCTTGCTATTGATCATTGAGATCTGTTTTTGTTTGTGATTAAACCGCTGTCATCTCAGCCACAGGTTTTGCCTGCGTTTGTTTCCCCTCCCCGTGGCGCTGTGGGCGTGGGCGAGCTGGCTGCACGGCGCTTGGCTCGTGGCCGAGGCCAAACCACAACAAATGGCCAATTTCTTTCCTATATTTACATTATACATAAGTTACAGCTTCAGGAATTTATTTAGTATTACCTGCTTTTTAAAAAACAAAATGCTTTTACTATTGCACTTTCCTTCTATTTGACAGAGCTACAAGAAGTCAGAATAACAACTGCTTAAGGATGAATGAAATTTATGAACAAACAACCTTAAAAATATTCTTGCCCTCCCATTTAAATCCATTTACAGCATTTATTACAAAACTATATTAAAAATATTTATTATTTAAAGCTGTCTCTGCTGTCTATTTAAATGCATCTGTTACATTTTCAGTGCTGTAATGTTCTACCGTTTCTTGGAAACTTGTAAAAGAAAAAAAGACAGTTTAAAAAAAGGCAAAAAATTCCAATTTAGACTTGTTTTACCCAGAGAACTTGGGAAATGTTCATCAGATGTGAACACTGAACTCACTTGTGACTCAGGATGCTCCATGAATAGAACACATATTGATGTTATATTTCAGCAGATGTAAATCACCTCCTTTTTTCATTAGGCTATGTCAGAGTCACGCCAAGATTCTTCTCTTTTTGCAGGGCTTTTCTGCCTGCCCTTTTGAAGGATAAAACCAAGAATCCATGCTCGTGCTATCTTTAACTCTAGATTAAATGAAAGGTAATGACTAAATAAAAACAGTAAGGAGCAGGTAGATAAAGTGTTGAGGGATTTTTAGTCAGGCTGTTCAAAACCAGTTTTGTTTTCCCCTTTTCTTTCCAATATCTTATTTTAATGGGAACTTTGCCTTCTGAAGAAAGGTCATCTGAAAAGATTTAAGTACTCCACCCTCTCCAATTTGCATTTTGCAAATGAGAGAATTAATTAATTAATTCTGAACTTTCCAGAAGATTCCCTCAACAAATCCAGAGAAGATATTGACATTTATAAAGGAAAAAACCCTTCAGACTTGAGAAAAAAAAAAAAACAACATCATGAGGAGAAAAACACCCACTTGAAATATTAAAAGAATGTTTGCAGGCCATATTTAGAGCAGCTTAATCTTCATGCCACAGGAAATCACAGCATCCTTTTGCACATTACTACATATTTCAAAGTGTGCAACTATTTAATCTGTTAAATGCTAAGCAGCATACTTCCACCAGTATAAACATATTATTTCCTTTTCAGAAAGTGCTAATTGCAATAGGTAGTCAAATGAAATGTTGCAGTCTAGGTCTCACTTTTAACCTTCTGGGATGTCTGTGTTGCCATAGGGCACAGCCAGCACATCATTCCAGTTTGCAGAGGAACTGGCAGCAATGGAACCAAGCTGACACAGCTCAGCATCCATCCCTTTCCCCACTTCTCACCTGCACCAGAAGTGGCTGCAGGGCAGACACAGCCCATAGGATTATTACAGGCAGCTTTGCTGAGACCATCTGTTCACTCTGACTTCACAGTTCCAATATTTGATAAATGTGTTATATATCCTTTTTCCTGTTAACTAAAAGATTGCAAGCTCAGACCCATTTGTAAACAGGAAGGCCCAGGTACCTGTTAAAGCCTTTGGAACAACTTTCTTCATTTAAGAAGACACAGGAGTACCAGGATGTACTTTGATAGTTTGTTTTCATTAATATAATTACAATACATTCTGGACAGTTACAAAATCTGGGGAATCTGGTTTTCTCCATAGTTTTTGATTGCATATTTCAAACAACTGGATGCCTTTCCATTACATCTGAACCCTTTGACTATAGTCTTAGCAAGGACATTCAGTACAGCAACCCTTTTTTCTGTTGCTTCAGCAACTTTTAGTTCTGTTTTGTGCCGAAGGCTTTTATGTCCACCTTGAATGCTGGTTTAGCTGCTAAATTAAAAGCCTGCAGCCAGTTTCATGTTACACCAATTCAAGAGAAGACATTTCCACAGGGACAATTTGGAAAAGGGATATATGCAAAATGTTTTCTGGGTCACTTGGAATAATAGCATTTAGTGTATTTCTAAAGTCATATCCTGCTGTAGATCAGAAGGAATTGCAATGAAGTCAGATAAAGTATTTCAATTTTCAGTTTAGGAGAAGTATTTGGCTCCACACGAACTGATAGCATTGTTCAAAGATAGCAGTTTTCTCAACCAAAATATATTGCCCATAATACAAGCTATCTGGCATTCTCAAATACAAGAAACATTCCCCTGCATAACACTGTTAAAATGTAAAAAACATCAGCTACTGAACCTAAAAACATTTTCAACACACTTTGATAAACTTTAAGTACATTGTACTTAGCTGCTTCAGAACACCTCTTTGCATCAGCAGGTGTGGCTACATATAGTTTCCATTTCCATTTACATGATCTTCCATGTAGGAGCCAAACAGTAGGCTTGCTCATTTCTACAAAGTCAGTCCAGCTACACTCTGGTCCCAGGAAACACATACCCTACCTCTTCTGACAAGTGGTAGGGCTCTGACCATAGGAGCACACTGCAAAGCAGCAAAGCATTTAAACAGTTGGCAAAGGGGTTGGAAGGCACATAGCTTGTCCTTAGCAAAATTTCCCTGTTCCACTTGCGGTGCCCATTGAGGAATCAGGATTGGGACCTAGCTTGAAATAAAAAAGTAGTAAGAAAATGGAAGCCTGCCAGGAAAAAAAAAAATAGGTTGCCTTTTTATTTTAGTGTTAAGATTTTAGTGTTGCATGTTTTCCTCCACCTTTCCAGTGAAAATTAAGGAAGCTATGGATGCATGTTAACCATACGTATGGACTTACTACTACTGGAATACCAAATGGCAGAGCTGCTGTAAACTGCTGCAAGTACTAAAAGCAATGTTTGTAATGGTCTGTACAGCATTTGCAAATATTTACTTTGAAAAGAGATTAGTGTAGTTCTTATTTTTCTCAGCATTGCTTAGAAATGCTAAAAAACTACAACAGCTAAACTGCTACTCTACACCAGATCAATTAACCCCAACAGATATTTAGGAATATATGCCATTATATTTAAAAATACCAAGTTCCTCTAAGTGGTAAACCTAGAAGATTTTACATAGAGTTAGAGATAAAATATTAAAAATTATTGTTTCAACTCCACACACTTGACATCTGAATAGGAGTGATGTAATCATACCATTTATTCCATCAGTGAGACAAAATGTAGTATGGAACTAAATTTCTGAGATTTTTAAATAGAAAGTCATTTAACTCATATATACACAAAGAGTTCTTTCCACAGATATTTACATGGCAAATATGTTAGAGGAGAACCACTATGACTAAGTCTCTACAAGTATAGCATCCTTTCTGAGCTATTCTCTCTGCTGAAAGAATTCACAGAAGCTTTGAAGTAAAATCTAAACAATTAAAGTTACCTATATTTCACAGTAGGTAAAGAAGCCGTTAAATGATATTTCAGCATAAGGTTTCTGGAAACAGCTACACAGTAGAGTTTTACATCCACCCTCTTTTCCAGCATCCATGGTGAAACTAAATCTCTTCTCAGTTCCAGGAGAGATAACAGCATAGGTAAGATGTGTGTGTAACCGTAGCTCATCCTCCTCGGTAGAGGCTGGTCAGCCGTTCTAGCTCTTTGCAGTTCTCCATGGACATGGACTCTGCTTTCTTTCGGAGGCGGTCGTCTCGATATACTTTTGCTGCATAAAGTAAGTCTGTTTCTTTAAGGAGAAAAGAGAAAAGATGTTTTTTGGTTACAAACTGAATACTTGGCACATGACAGAGCTGTAAAAAACACCTCAGGTTTTAATCCTTGCCCTTTTTGCCTTCTCTCTGTTCTAACTTCCCTCAGACACCACTGAAACAGCACTGCTACAGTTTTCCTTTGCTGGATCTTTGTAACAATTCCATCTTTTTGAGCAGACAAAGCTGTATCAGCCTTCCAGCTCCCTCAGAGTTCATACATACAGCAGTATCTGATTAACAAGAAAAAAACACACCCTACAAAAATCTCCGACAATAAAATAACAAAAAATCCCCTACTACTTCTGTCAGACCTCATGAAACATTACAAATACAGGCCACTACAAATACAGGCCACTCTCAGTGATCCTGCATTGTTTGATACCTCTAGCATCTTGTCTGTGCCCCAAAAAATCCAATCTTAATGTTATACCCTTTACTTCAACTGATGCTGATTGAGACTGTCAGTGTTCAGAGTTATTAATAAATAAGAGCTCTCTGTATTATACTGGTGCTCAACAGCTTGACATTGCTGAGCACTGTCATTCTGTAAAATCTTTTTTGTCACTTCAACTCAAAATGCAAGACATTGTTAAACATCAATTAACCCTGGATAGATTTTAACTGTCAAAGAAATTTAACACACAACAGGTATTTTAAATCCATAAAACCACAAAATCAGCTGTTTCTATAATCAGAAAAAAAAAAACCCAAAAACATTAGGAGCTTCTTACTCAAAATCACTTTAGGTAGTTTTCACAACCTGATAAATTACAAGTACCAAACAACTGGACTGCAGAGACCAAAGCTGGGCAGGAACATGTGATCTGACTCAGAGAATTGCATTCTATTTGCTTCTGGTCAGTTTAGTGACAGTTCATTAATGAATTATTTTTCCAGTTAGCTGTGACTGAAGCTCACCACCTGAAAAGTTAAAACCATCTGGTTTCAACACTGATGTAATTTTAGCAGTGCTCTTCCCACAGAGCTCACAAAATGGTCACAGATAACAGAATAACTGGTTAGAATTGATGCTGCTTTAGAAAAGGCTGGTGGTGCTCTTCAGTGATCTTATGCTTTAACACCGAATTCTAGGTTTCTGAAAAGAAGTAACTCATTTTATAATACTAGACTGGAGAAACAGATGGCAAACTAAACCCCCTTGTTTTACAGGATGTGCTGCCTGTCCTTGGTTGCCTGGAAAAGCAGTGTTTGTATGTACTGTGGTCCAAGGCAGATTATTTTTTCGTCTCTCTGGAAACACCTATGTAAGCTTCTGGTTTATTTATTTACTTGTATAAAAGCACGTAGGGAAATGAGCTATTGCCATGATAAAGTAATGTGGAAGACATGAGAATTCTGTGAAATCACAGTGAGTTAAGGACAAAAGCTTTGTCATTATCAATTTAGTGTAGTCTTTCATTTTCTGAGAAATGGTCACAGCTAATAAAGCAGCAGGTTAAAATTGCTGATAATTCGCAAATGGTTGTTAGATCACTGAGTAAAATTCAAAAACTAAGTGACACTGGGGACAGTTTTGAAGTGAGAAACAGCAGGAGACCTTACCCTTACTTTTGCATTGAGATATTGTAATAGTACAAGCACTTCCTTCTTGTCTCAGGCAATTTATTTTTATAGTAGTACATGATTTCATGAAATGACACATATTACCAAACTTACTTTGTTGCCTCTCCTTCCAACAGTTATTACGAATGTTGGATACATAATCTTCTTCCACACTCTTTTCCACTTTCTGTAATGACACTCCTTTGTATTCATTTCTAAAGTCCTTATTGACATAATAAATGACACCCAAATTTTCTGTCTGCATTTTTATGGTCTGCCCTGTACTTCTGCAAAATAGGAGGCAGGGGAAAGAAAGACTAAATATTAATTTGATTATTGTTTTTACACCACAAATAGACTTAAAAAAATATTGCCATTACAGAACAATATCAGCACATTCCTAAATTTGCCATTTTGAGACAAATAATGAGAAGAATGGCTCTATAATCTGCTAGAGAATAAAATTATTGCATTTACCAAAACATTAAACTTCTGCTGCTTAAACACTTGATCTCAAAAAAAATCCACTTTACTAAGACACTTATTTCATACCTCTTTAGCCAAATATAAGTTTTAATAATAGAAAATTAAATTCAAACTCAACAGAAACAGGTCAGTATTCTGTAGCAACCCAGTACAGCATCCCCATTCTGAAATGCTTGCTGCTAGCCCTGATAAAGTCATTTTCCTGCTGGCATTTTGTAGATTAAAAATCAAAGACCAGATGCAAACATTTTGGCAGAAAAGCTTTTCTAAGCATTACAACAGCTTAGTTGCAGAAGGGAAAAACATCCTACTCCAGAAACAGAGAACTTTGAAAAATAGGAGAAAAGAAACCTTTCTGTTGTGGGGCTCTGCAAGGAACTAAGGACCTTTAAAACCAGTGTGGTGAGTGGGCTATTTCCACCACTTACCACCTTTCTACCAACTGCACACTTGAACCAAGCTACTTATTTCTCACATGAAAAAAAAAAAGGTTTAAATATCCTACTGTATGAGACAGGTAAGTTTCACAAGTAGAATTCTTCACAAGAAAAAGATGATTTTACCATCACCTAGAATGAAGCAAAGAACAGCCAAGCTTCCCAGCTGTCATCATATTTAACACCTAAATAAGGATGAGAAAGTTGCTTTCAAATTCTTCACCTGCTACAAACACAGATTACCCCCCAAAGAGTAACAAGCTTTAGCAGATTTCAGGTTTTGGTTAACTGTGTTGGAGATGAAACATCTTTGCAACTTGCCATGTTGCATGGACCCACTGCCTTGTACTAGACCTCCTGAACTCCAGGTACTGCTGACCTCTTCTCCATTACATTCTCACAGCATGTTCTTCACACCTCAATTGTTCTGCTTCATCTACACCTTCCCTCCCTTTTCTTCACTGTGGGAAATCAAAGATCAACTAATGGAAGACTCTCTACAATGCTTCTAAGTGGGAGAGGGTGGTTTACATCACCTTCCCCTCTGCTTTAAGGTGATGTAATTAAGCATTACTTACGATCTTGGGTATAAGGCGTAAGGAGGGTTAGATACCATCAACTGGCTCAACAAGGAGACGAAGATCAACACAATAATAGGCATCAGCTGAATGACCATAGAGAAACCTCCCTAAGGAACAAAACAGAGTCAGGTATTTCATAAACCATCAAGCAAACAGGTAAATTCTGACAATACTTAATGCTAACTGTGACTTTTTGCTTTAAGCCTCAAAAGCTGCTAGGAAAACAGTAACTGCAAACACTGTGATATTACCTGAACTTTCAAATGCATACACAATATTCACACAGTGCTCAAGCTGCAGGAGTTCATGGCTTAGCACGCACACACAAGCAAGTACCAAATAAAAGCTGCATTCAGCTACACTGTATGCCATAATTTGGTCTCATCTATACAGGGATCTGTGGTTATACAGGACTAGAGACAATTCATGCAGGTGAATACTGGGCTGTAAGTTCAATTCTTACCTCAGCCCAAGTAAATTTTTCGATGCATACAAGGATTAGTGACCACAATTAGTGGCATATATAGATTAATAATACCAGTCACCAGTAAGAGACTGACATACAACATCAGGTTTACAAAACCAGGCTAATTACCTTCTCAAATTTGAATGCCTATTTACCAGTCAGTAAGCGAACCACCCACTGAAGTTTAAAATACCCAACTGGCAGGTACAAATCCTCCCCTACAGTACAGAGCTCCTGTACAATCACAATACTGAAAGCAAATTTTGTAGTTTAAAGCCAACAGTGCTTAAACTTACATCACCCCTCTCTTCCTCCCTCTCGTGCCCACTCTGACGGTGCTGGTTTGGATGGCTGTAGCCAGCACGACCATTAGAAAATGAGTGTACACTACCTGAGGAAGGAACATCCACATTTAAATCATGTACAAAAATACTATTTAGAGGTCAGTACAAAAGCAACATAAAGCACTTTACATTACTCCACAATAGCTCATAAAATTACATTAAGGTATCTTAAAAAGTTTCTTAAAGTAAGTATTGCTTTCAAAGTTGCTTAAAGTTAAGTATTTTAAGCTGTATGATAGTAATCCCAAAGAACTGATATTTTTGGGATTTAGCAACACTTGAGGGAAAAATAAACTGATGCAGATTGTAGAGCTGGGGTTCAAGGCTGTCTGGAATTATTCTACTGTTTTATCATGTCATAAACTCTAATGCCACTCTGGGCAGTACATCTTGACAATTATGCTGATGTATACGAATACCTGTTGGAAAGGCCCCTCCAAAAAACATGTTGAACAGATCCTCTGGAGTAATATCTGCCTCACAACCTCTATGGAAGTTGAATCTGCCATTGCTAGGGTGATTGCAAGTTTGCTCTTCACTGCCTGTAAGGTCATACTGCTTTCGTTTCTCGGGATTACTCAGCACAGCATACGCATTTCCAATTTCTGAAGCAAGGAATAAAACACAACTCCCATAAATGCATGATAAAAGCTGTTCCAGCATGAAAATGCAATTTCAAAGTAAAAAATAGGCAGCAAAATGATGCAATTTACTGTATGTTACAAAACAGCTACAGTAGAACAAGGTCCAGAAACATCTCCACTTTTCTTCGAATAGCTTCCACAAAGTTTCCCACCACCGCTATTCAAAGGCCTTTTATCCTGTTAAACAAGGCAGAAGGCAGGAGAGCTTTGTTTCCTTTTCTAGGGGAACACCTACCCTTGTGGAAATGTTCTCTCTCACTGCAGTTACAAAAAAAGCATCAAGCATTACAATGAGACTCTGAAGCTGCAGTTTGCTCTAGCAGCCTAGCTTAAAAAAAACATCATGGACTCAGCAGGTTTTCTTTGGTTTCATTTGGTGAGTGGTCATTTCTTGGAATGCATCAACTTCATTGCATACAAGAGTGTGAATGTATTTTTTCTTCATGCTTCTGAAGGTATTTATGGATTACATTAATAACACAAAGTTTTGCATGATGTAACCTGAGGAGTAGAGCATGCAGGTGTGACAGGAATGTGTGTGTTCCTCAAGTGGAAAATATGACCTCAGTGTTTGGAGGGCCTGGCCTGGATTCTTGTCCCTGTTCATGCCATGGTATCACAAATGAACAGCTGCCATTTTGGCAGCAGAAAGGAAAAAACCTCACTTAGGTAAGCACGGAAAATATCAGCAAGAAAACCCACATATACTGCTGACTTCAGAAGCTTTTTTCTTGCTGTGCACAGACATAATGACCTTGCAGACTGATGGAAAGTATGCATTGCCACTTGATGAACAATCTTCGCGCAGTCATATCTTCATTAAACCCTTTCTGCCTTCCTCTCTACTCTCTCCTCCAGGCCTCTCCAACAAAAGAGTTCTTTTGCAGCCAAGCAACCCAAGGCACAGGGATTATGATTTTCAGTGTTGAAAAGCCATCAGTCATCAGAAGTTCGTGAAAGGTGCAACACTATAACCTCAACACAGGCAAATAAGACTGTGGCTTTATAATTAATATTTTAAACGTTATCCAATCTAAGCAAAAGTTAATGAGTTTTAGCTACATGTATTTTAGGATGCCCTTAGGAAAAAAATGAAGCAATTCCTTTAAGTGGAGGAAAAAACTCAAAGGAATTTATGTGACCCTACTGTCACAATATGCCTGTTTGTTACTTGCTCTTGATTTTCTGGTGGTAATTCACAACAGATTTGATTCCAATATAATTTGCTTTTCAAAAAGGACATAAAAAGGAAAAAAAAAAAGCCACTGTTCAAAAGTTTCAAAGATAAGATTTTTGATTAAATGGATAAAAGACGGCAGAAGTTATTATATTTGCACAAACTTTTTGATTTAAAATTCACTTCAGTGAGACTGCTCAGTACAACAGATGAGTAGTACTACGTAGGTCAAGATCTAAGTAAGTACATTACTTATCACGAAATGCAATTCTGTTTTATAATGTGACCTTTCCTTAAAATAAAGCATTATTATGAAATAAAAACTACTGTTATGAACTCCTTTTCTCATGTCAAAAACTGATCAGATATCTTTAAAGGAAAACTAAACCATAAATTTACTCAGCCATACAAAAAGATTACGATAATTTAAATGCAAGAAAATTAAATAACTTTTGGTCAATGAGATTCCCCTACAAAATTTTTTGTTCATTTACTTATCTATTTAAAAACCAGAAAGTGAAATCCGGGTGAAGAAATTGGACTTGTAGAAAGTGCTCATGTTAAATAAAATATTAACAAGTCGATTTTTAACATTTTAAAGATGATTTGAAGTGCTATTAACAAGGAAGAACTATTTTATTCCCACTGCCTGAGACAATTTTATAGGAATAGTACCTTTTAGATAAAAACATCACATAGCTGTATTAAATGAATCAATAGCAATCAACTTTCCTGCTCTGCAGTATCTACTTTTCACCTGGAATTGTTAATATATTATCATAATTACCTCTTAAAGTCTGTATCAGAAGTCTTGCTCAGGACTTTTTTTTTCTTTTTTTCCCTCCCCAATTTAAGTGTTTTATCCGAATGATTTTTTCAAATGTCTGCATGTAAACCTCACACAGGAAAAAAATAAAAAATGTACCATGATCAGATTGTTTATGCATTATCATTTCTTACAGATTCACATTTTTCTTCATCTGAGATGAAGCTGTAGTTTTCTTTAAAAAGCTTTTTTTTAATAACTTCCCTTGTGTAGGGCTAAGCTGGGCAGCCTTAAATAAGGTCAAGTCAGACTGTAAATTTTACCTCAAAAATGGTCAAAGGCAACTACTAGTAAGGCCACGATTGAACTCAGGTGTTTTTAGGCAGAAAAAATAGTAAAACTGCAAACATACAAGAAATTCTAAGGAAGAGGCAACTTAGTGTGGCACCTGATTCAGTAAAAACTGCATTTTGCTATCAAGAATTGCTTTCTTTTATTTCTAGCTCAAGTACAGTAAAGATCCAAGGCAATAAAATTCAATGAATACATTAAGTCAACAACAGTAAAAAAGTGCAATTGGGTTTCAGAGGTCAAGTATTTGTCCCCTGTACTGAACATTACAGTCAATTTTCTGAAACCAAGCCCTACTGCCAAAGTCCATGTTATTTATCTATACTTCTAATATAACAAAGGTAAAATATTTTCTTGAATAAAAATGTCAGTTCAACAAGAGCTAAAAAACACATTTACATTTGTAAAAATACAAGTGAACAATGCAGATAAATATGTTTTATGTGGATGAAGTTTAATCATAAAAGAAATATAAAGTAAAAATGGTGTTTTACTTTTAAAAGCCTCTGTTGCTCCAGGTGCATGGTTTTTGTCTGGGTGGAATTTCAAAGCAAGTTTTCTATAAGCCTTCTTTAGGTCTTCTTCACCTGCATCCTTTGACACTCCAAGGACTTCGTAATAATTTTTACATTTCTTTATACTGCAAAAGAAAATGATGTAAAATGTTGCAAGCAGAAAGATGTAAAAGTAGTGGATTAACACACAGCTGTGAGTGAGGTCATATACTACACTGGTGCACTATATTACATCTTTTGCTTTCAATATAAATTATTTTTAAAATATCCACTCTAGAAACAAAGAATGTAATTTTTTTCACAATAAACTCAGAATTGTGCTTATTATGTACATTTCTTTTACTTCTACTACCACAGTTGTAAGAAAGGGTTTCAGTTTGCAACTACTGTAGCATTTCCTCATCCACAATTACATTAATATTGCTGTTAATAATGCATAAAAAGAAGGTTCCAAATTTACTTTGCACAACTAGTAGGTAGGAAAATGTGTTTTGACTATTAACAGCAAATGCACTTCAGTATGAAGGATATAAAACAAAGCAAACAATACCTCCCTTTCTCCAAACAAAAGTAAAATCATACCATCACTCAAGCATTCCCTTTTCAGGGAATAAAACATGTGAGAATACTTCTGCTGCTGGGAATGCACCTGGATCTTAACAATCTTTCTGTAAGTGTTTATATAAATTCAAAGTCACACTGTCAGCTCCAGCAATTACATATTTAGCTTATCTCATATAACCAAGTGTAGCATTTTTTAAAACTCAAACCTCAGAAATATTCTTTATGTAGGCTGTCTAACCCAGACAGGAAAAGCAAAATCTGGAAATGATGTAATGATTTAGTATAATTCACAATACCCCAGAAGAAAGAAAGAGCAGTTAGAGGAAAAGTGAGAACATTAATTCTTGTGGGCAGGAAGAACTGATCAAACTAGTAAATACAGCTTAACAATCAAACCAAGTTACTTGGGTAAGAATTCAGAAAGAAAAGGCTGAATCCCAAACTTGCACTGCAGAAATGAGGCACACTGACACGGGGTGCATGCCAAAAGAAATGGGCTGTTCTGAGCAAGAAATAGAAATTACATCCATAAATACTTTAAAAGCTTCATGTGAGTCTCCTCTCTTGGCTGTAATTTTATCTACATTCTCCTACATGCACAAATGTCTACGTAAATTTGGGTTTAATGTTTCCAAGTCTATACACAGAGCAGCCATGTGGAAAACAAGGGGGCAAGCCAGCCTCTGGCACTCCCATGAAAGAAGTATGGGTATCCTGTAATTAAGGGAATGTGAGTATCACAAGTACAACCACACCAACATGTGTGGTCCACCCTACTTCACAGATTGATGAAATCAAGTTTCATTTGAGGGATCCTTTTTCCTGCATTCAAATACAGAAGCTTTTATAGAAGCCTTGGTGTAATGCTCACAAGAGCACTGAAATGAATGTATGCAGGCAGCTGCCAACACAAACATCCTGTGAAATAAATATAGCTCATTATATTGAAGTAACATTTAATAAGCTCCAATTAGGAAGCTGATAGAGCTAACTAAAAAGAACACAGTGAATCCATCAAGAAAGGATGGAAAGAAAATGCATTAAATTATACTCTTGAGTACTGGAAACTTTTTTGGTAATCTGCACAAGCAGAAAGAAGTGTGGTAATGTACAGATCCTTTAATCCATAGACTCAATGCCAGGATGACTTATGTACTGTACCAAGAACGGGTAGCTTTATTCAAATGTGTAACCGTATCAAATTAAGCTTTTATTTCATGGAATTGCTATCTCAGTATCCAATCTAAGTTCTCTTCAACAACTGCTTCTGAGCTCTCTGTTTGTGGGCCAGACTCTTCAGAACTTTGGTTGGTATAAAATTACATAGCAAGCCATCAATGTTTAGCGAAGTTGTTATTGTTTTAGCATTAAAACTCTGATGTTCAACACCCATTCATGTGTTTTTAAGCACTGTGCATCAACAACTCTCTCCCTCAACAGCATATTGTCATTTTTCATGAAAAAAACCTAACATGGAAGTTTATTTACTTGCAATATACATTCATTTCACAACTCTAGGATGCCAAAAGGAGAAATATTGGGGAAAAAAAAAGAGGAATGCAACAGATGCCAACCTGTACTTCTAACTCCCCAAAACCCACTTGAGAGCTCTCTCCTGCTCACAACCAGTGGATGTTCCACAGTGGATGACCCTCAAAGGAGAAGCAGCAACGGTGGGTATCTACCAAAAGATCTACAGGATTAATGCAATCACCTCCATGCAACAGCTATCCTGAACCTGGCCCACAACTGAGGTATTTTTATTACTGAGAAACATGTTCAGCCGAGGTATAACACATTTCTCTTTTTTCTTTGCAAGTCTTTCTTAGTGGTAAATGAAAAATTCTCCAAACACAAATGTGGAACATGCATATATGTATGGAAATTTTGCAGTTCAGTAGGACTTTGGATTAGGCTGATCAAGCTTTAAAGCTAGAAAACATTAAATTATCTTACAAATTCACAGGGGGAAAACCCCATACCCAAGCCTGGAATTTTCAGCAGTGACCTTGTGCTATGAAGCCCTTGCCACACTCTGCCATTAGCCAACAGTTTTACACCATTGCTTGGCCACCACAAGGAAAAACCACCTGGACTGTAAGTCACCAGCATCTGATTAATGCAGCTTCCTCCTGGGAGGGAGTCAGTGACTTTTGCCAGGAGGTTGCTGACACAGCACAATTCAGGGCAATCATAACAGGATAACACCTCCGTTTTTCCCCCCTCAGCTGAGTTCATGTGAATTTTGCACCAAAACTTGCACTGGGGATGATGGAACAAGCAAAGATGATTAGCAGGTGCTTTCCAGTTAAACAAAGTTACCACTGTTTGTGATGTACTCCTGAGAAGAAAAAACTTTAATGCACCACAAACGGAACCTGGTAAGTCAGTTTATCACAGGACAAACTGTGGGGTCACCAGGACTCAGCTCACACAGCGCTGTGCAGCCACAAGGCTTCTCTAACACTGTTGGGTGCACACTCAGATGCCCCATCCTTCCTCATCCTTTAAGAGATACCCCAAGTCTTCTTCCCCCAAAACTCCACTCTCCTGATGAGAAATTTCTCTCCAGCTGCTGGAAGTTGTTGGAAGCCATGGCCAACTTGATTCTTGCCCCTCAGAAGATGCAGAGATTTCTGGACATAGTCCTCACCTTTTACTTTAGTACACTGACCTCTGACAATCCCCACTCAGCCAGAAACCTTCACCTGCACCACTGAATTATCCTGTGGAGATTTGTCATGGGAAGGCAGGTGGATAGAAGGATGCATTCCTTTCTCACTTTTCTCCTACTACAGGGCACAAAACTCAGCCACTAAACGCAGGGAAAAATTAAGGGTAAAACCAGTGGAGGTTCTAGAAAAGCCCCATCACTGATGTTATTGCTGGCTTTTAACTGCACCTAAAACCCCTGCAACACTCTCAAGCATAAACAACTTCCTGAATGCTGCATTGCAAATTATTGTTTGTTTGATCTTGCTGCCCTTAAGGCACTGCAGTTCCTACTGCTTGTTTTCTTGCACATGTAAACTCCATGCAGACATTTATTTTTAAAATGCTCATGTACACACCACTTGCTTACCCATTCTGTATTGAACAGGTTATTTTTGTTGTTCTTTATTTCTGGCTTATTTGAAGTTTGGTGTTTTCACTGATACTTTGCTTGGGGTTTTGTTTTTTCTGTGAATTGCTTTTCTTGTACTTTTCATTTCTGGTTGGATCACTTCTGTATCTGAATTACTATCAAACTATTTCTGTTAATTCTCTCCTTGTTGAATTGTTAGTCCCCTGCCAACACCTTGGCACTGTTCTTCTGATTAACAGATTTGCTGGCTGTTCCTGAAATAACACCCGACTTTTACAAAATAGACTTCTCAAACTGCAGGAGAGCAAGTGATGGCCTACATTTATCCCCAGTCTGTTGACAGAGGTATCTCATCACGACTTGCAAAGCTCCACGATCCCAGCCTGCAGCTGACAAGGCACCTGCAGAACTGGTCAGCCAGCTTCAAACTGCAGCACCAACAACTCTGCTGGATGCTGGGCTCCTCTCCATGCTCTGATGGCTGACAGCAGAGGAAGCCCTTCAGGTCCTGAAACGTCTCTTCTCACCTGCAGAAACCCTAGGGCTGCCACCACTGGCTCTCCTGTGACTACAAAATGATGTGATCCTAATGCTGTGCTTGTCAGATCACTTTTCAAATCTACAATTCAGATTAGGTCAGCACTGCCAGCTTTTATCAGATTAACAAAACCTATCAGAGATGCTTGCCTTACTGTATCAAATACCTGCAGCAATGCACAATCATGAAATTTGGAGTATGATGAGATATTTCAAAGGGTCTTCCAAAGCCTCACAGGAACAGCCCAAAAGACAAATACCTCAACCAGAAGCATGTCAAGGGAGCCACAATTATTTCTCCCAATGGTAATCTGAACTAAGCAGCACAGTGAGTAGCAATGTGAATGTTAGTAACAAAGAATCCAGCAAGAGGAAGCTATACTGACTTCTGATCCTAGAGTTGAGCAGAAAAACACAGTAAAATGCAGACCAAAATCTATACAGGTCAAATTTCCAATTATGCCAGAGAGCCTGATGCAAATGGTATCTTGCAGCTGAGCTGGGAATGTGCCAGTCACAGTTTGGGTGGCAAACATGGCCTGAAAGAAGCGCTCTAGATTGGGAAGAGAAGGTCACAGCATTGTCAAGGAACTCGAGCTGGTACCAGCATATCCCTAGTTTCTGAAACAAATGCAGAACTCTCAGACTTCTGTTGCACTGATAGATTCAACAACACATTAGGGTGCTTGTCTTACTACCTTGCTCTTGGATGCACCTGATCAGTTTGTTTCTACTGTGTGTATTATATGAAATAGTCAAGGCTGTGTTTACATCAACATACTTTTCTCCAGATTTTATTTAAGCTTTTATTTTAGTTCTGACCTTTCTGACAAAGTCTATCATGTCTTCTCTGCCACTTTTCTGTGACAAGCTCTATGACTATGATTTCCACCTTTATTTCTCAACCATTCAACTGGATATTCCAACAATTCATGGCAGCTCCACAGCCTAATTAAAGGCATGCCCTGATTTCTTTGCTTTGGTGGTTTGGTTTTTTTTTCACACATATTGATTGCTCTTATTAATCCTCTTCCAGTTAATTATCTTCTCGACACCAAGCTAGAAAAGAACCAATATCACTCTTTTTGCTGGATTTGCAAAAGTGTCAGCAGAATGCCTGGAAAAAGTCAGTCACACAACTTATATTCCTAGTTTGATCCATGAAATACGTAGAGACAATTTTTTTGTTCACTACATGAATTCAAATCAAGCTACAGATTATTCCTGACCACTACTAAATGACACTTAATACTGCCTTGCAAGGTTTCTACAGAACTCATGCTTCTATCTCAAAGATCCAAATACAAAATTTGATTCTTGTGCTTTCTTCCAAGAAGCAGGCACTGGCAAGGCAGGAAAAACAGTATTCTGTTGACCACAGTTTTCACAAGACAACAATGCAAATTTAGCATACTACTAGTCATGTCAGTTTTCTTTCAGATGTCAAAAGGGTAATATGGAATACATGCTATGGCTTATTGACTGAAAAAGAAAAAGACCAAAGAGGTCAAACACCATGTGCATCTTAAGATCATTTAAAGAGAGCCTGTATAAAACATACAATATGAAAATGCTTCATTTTTTGTCGTGCATGTGGTTCTCACACATTAGTCTTAAGCTGACATTGCTTGTGTAGCTTTCTGGAGACTGGAGACTTCTAGGGCACTTGCTCTAAGAAGGCATTATGTGCCTACTGTGGGTCCTAGCATATTTCTGCTAGCCTCCTGTCAGTATCTCCCACATGCAGGTCACCTAAGCGTGTTAAGACAACTTGATCCAGTTCTCAGTGACAAGGTAAGGATCATTAAGAAAAGGATGCTTGTACTACAGATGGGATTTTCAAAGCATTTCCACGAAAAGCAACAAAGTGCTGCGGTATCTCTCAACCTTCAAACTGTCACAGTGAAGTAGCGAGCACAGCTCCCACAAAGAGCAGCATTACCCAGCACTTATGCAATCAAAGGAAATATGTTACATCTTACGCTTCTCCCTGTTGAGCAGCTTGCAAGCTCACGTAATACTCCACAGAACTGTTATGGTAACTTGCTAGTGATCAGTGTCCCCTGTGTATGTGGAAAAAATGAAGCCAGCACAGAGATGCTTGTTTGTACTTGTAGCTACTCACACTACTAGAGTAACCCTGATGAAAATTAATGCAGCAAAATTAGTTACATTGCTCCAAGCATGTCCTCACTATGCTTCTTAAATCTGCTGTCACAAGCAAATTCAAGATAGCTATACAATTCCAGGAACTTTAATCAGTGATCCAAGCCAGGGAGCTCAGAGTCAGTCGCCCTGACAGCTCAGTAAAGCTTACAACAAAGGCATTGGAAATGGCATGGAAGTGCAGCTGAAAGCAGAAGCGCTTTCCCTATGTCTACATTCAGTTACTGAACCAAAAACTCCTGAAGGGAAGAACATTTGAGGATAATGACTTTTTGAATCATGCACATGCAAACCACTCTATCTGTCTGATGTCCATACCAAGTGTCAGAATTTATTGAAGTCTGGAGGTTTTGCTACCTTGCTGTCCCTTACAGCAAACTTCTTCCCTTACAGAAAAAAAGACAACAACTGGGCATGAAACACTGTTTAAAACCACTTCTTTTCACACACTATTTCTTTAACCAATTCAAACATCTGAAAACCATTCCACTGCGGTAAAGCAGAAGCATATGGCAGCAACAAACTCTATTCTCTAAAGAATATCCTCCCCAAAGGGGCATGTTTCATTTAATTGGAAAAATCTGGGGCCTGACTGAAGTGTCTGTCATGTTTCCAACTAGAAAGCTCATTCTCACTGTGGTTTAAACATGAACTTTCTCTCAGTTATCATCACTGAATGAGTTATATTTTTCCATTTAGTTTTAGGCCATTGCTTGTATTTAATTCTGCTCTCCTTGGCAAGGCACGCATGTTTTTTAATTCTTTACCACCAATTTTTTAAGTGGTTTATGTCACTAAATAATAACATGACAAACATTTCAAAACTTGCTCTGTTGATCACTGCACATTAAACAAAAAAATCCATCTCTCTCTAAAGGTTCATGAACTGCTGTATTAAAAGATGGCAGCGTTCCCCAAGTGAAGGTGAAGATATTGTTTTAACACATGATTTTAAGTGGTATGTTAAACAAACAAACATGGGCTGTTCTGCAAGGTATGACAATCACTTATTTCGCAAAGATCTTGGTAGGTTTTAAAACTCCATATTCAACATTCGATATTCTTGAAGCAATGTTGCATCAAGATTATTCTCTATGTGCAATTCTTGAACACCCCTAACTCCGCTCCTGATCTCAAGAAACTGGATTAAGTCCATATAGCATCTAACAAATCCCTTCAAGAAAGCAATACCCAATATCACAAAAGCCTACCAGAGAAAAAAAGGTAGCTCCACAACACCATTTCAGTCAAGACAAAGCAGGCAACATACCTTCTGCTAAAACAAACAAACAGACTGATCTTGCAGGGAGCCTGATGTTGAAGCAGACTGCAGCTCAGAATGGCACGTCACAGGTGAGTGACTGCTGGCACCAAGACAGCCCTCCTTGCAGCAGCTTTCTGGGAGAATGTGACATGCCTTATTTTGACCTAAGCCACATTTACAGAGGACTTCTTTCTGGATATTTTGTCTCACATACGTGTATCCAAACACACATTCCACATTCATTTTAACAAAAAATATACAGGCTTATCTGTGTTTTACTTTAGATGTATCACAAAAGGCAATAACATTAATTAAGCAGAGATGATGGCAAATGAAAAGCACTAGTAAATAACGCCAAGAGGATAACTATGTGAGAGCTGCTGCTGTCTACCTGCCTGAATGCAGTTTCTGTATCAACAAATAAAAAAGTACTTCTTGCCTCACTGTTAGCACAGCTGAACAGATTACTGAAATTCAAGAAGATCCCAAGAGCATACCAACAGTAACATACAGATGCACATAAACCGCCCCCCCCCAAATTTCTCTTATGCACAACATCCAATATACACAAACTAGGAGACAGGGATCTCCTGATTTTCCTTCAAGCTACCTTGAAAATATTTGGGTTAGGTTTATCTGAAAATACTGGGGTTTGAGCTGTGCAATTTCCTTGCTATATCCATATTTCTTTAGCACAAACCCAGGCACATATGAAACAATATTTTTCTTGCTCCTACAGCCAGCAAGAATGCAATAATAACACGACTTAAGACTTACTTGCCTCAAAAGGGCATTTTTATTGACCTTTGTTTCTTTTCACACATCCTTTCCTGATGTCACCTCCTCTTAATACTATCAAGCTGCACTAAGCAGAGTTTATACTGCAGCTCAGATGATGTATTCCAGTGCTTCTCAGACACCTTTACATTCAAACCAAAGTAATTTTAACATTTGTCTAAGTCCACTCTTAAGACCAGTACAGCAAGATTAGCTTGAAAATAAACTTTAGGTGTGACCATGTATCTTTAGTATAAAAATATTGAATAGAAACACTGTCCTGCAAGTTGTACAACAGAATTTTTCCATTTACCATGAGATCGTTTCAATAACTATTCTGAGTATTATTTTTCCATAAAGCAGCCTTAATAGTTTGAAGAAAGGAGTAGCATCTTTCTTGCAGAAAGTGATAGCGTCTCATTTGGTGTTTAAAACCAGCAAAGCTCTTCCTTCCAGTCAAAGTTCAGTACCAGTAACCCCTCTGAGCTAACCTCAAACTTCCTGTGGCTCCTTTAGATGACAGAGTTGAAAGGGTAAGTAGATAATACACAGAATGAAAAGCAGCGACATATTTAAGCCATACCTTAATACTCCTTCCATTTGGTCTTTGTTGTAGCCTTTTCCACTTTCACCTGCAGCAGATGCATTGCTCTCCTTCGCGCTATTGGGCTTACTTTGATCACTGTTACTGGCTGGTTTTCGGCAGTAAGCTCCTCCCCCAGCAGCACTTCCATTCTTCGTAATAGCTTCCAACAAAACTATAAAAACAACAGTATATCATAGTATCATTACAGGTACTAGTGAGCGAGTCAGGGCTCTCAGGTATCTAAGATGAGAGCACCACATAACAAGACTTGCTGCTATGTCCTCCTTCCTTACTGATCACCACTTTGCGCCACAAATGGTTCTGCAGCCAGTCTAACAATTCCTTTTTGTGGCAAAACTATGGAAAAGTGTTTCAAAATTAGTGAACGGCCTCCTCCCATCCATCTCTGCCAAGGTAATGTAACACTGAAGAGAATTTGTCCAGGTGCTTCATTTCTAGATGTTTTTTAGAGGCACTAAACCTGTGCCTTGGGGTGAAAACATCAGAACAAGCAACTGCAAATTGAAGAAGAGGAACTAACCTTACACGCTACAGAAAGTACAAAGTATGCCACACAGACACCAAGCCCATCTCCAGCACATTTCAGTTCCTACAGTACATACCTATCTGTAACCTGAGTCATGATTGCCACAAACTGATGCTCTATTCCTTCCAGGCAATATCAGCTGAAATTCAAACCACTATTAAAGTGCCACAACCAGCCAAGGACCAGCCAAGTACACCCAACTCAAGACCTGAATCTTGAAAACCAGTTGGCTTCTGCTAGTCCTTGAAATCCTCCTTCATTCCATGTTCCAGCAGATCTCAAATTTAGCAGTTTTAATAAACATTATACACAAAGTCTGGTTTTTCTTTCTGTATGTAAGCCTGTATTTTGGGGGTACCTGTCTTAGCAATGAATCAGAAACAATACCATTCTAACATAAGGGACTGCACACAAAGTATAATACAGATCAAAGATTATTAAATAGTCCACCTTTCCTGAAAACAGATTCCTTCAGAGCAACATGGCAAACTACATAGGCTAAATTTGTTTCATAAAGAAAATTAGTTACTATCTGCATGAAAAATGCACTAACAAAACCTGCTAAGGAAAAATGTCCTCTGCACTGTGAAAGCATAGCACTTTCTTCTAGAAAGCCAGTGGGAAGAATCCTTAAGAATTTTCTCTTAAATTAAAAAAAAAAAATTCTCCTCTGCTTAGCATGGTCTTCCTTAGAGCATCAGAAAACTGGGATCCTACACATCATAGCTTGTGTACCACAGGAAGAATAGAAAGTGGAGCTTTGTTGAAAAGGAGAGCCACTTCTTAAAAGCTCCCCAGTATTTACTTTTCCATTCCATTATTGGTGAATAGCTACACTCAGCCTGAAGAAAGTCAGCTGACTTCAGAGCCAGTCCTGCCCTCTGCCTGCCTCAGCAAGACTCACGGATTGATCAGATCAGCTCTTTACAGCAGACAGAAGGAAAAAACTAAGCTTTAGATGCCTAGTTGTAACTGAGGGCATGCTCTCACTACAAATGAAATTTGGAGCTTGAAAACAGGACAGCTGCAGCTGCACTATGCATTATAACTGAAGGACACATTCAATATTTGTAATACTTTAATATCCTCCGTTGTGGCACATGAAGTTCTGAGGTAAATGAAGTAATAACAACTCCAACAAGGTGACCACGTCTGCAGATTAAGAACTAATCAAGAACAGAGCTTTGAACAGACAGTGCCCTGGGAATTAAGGATTTCAGTCTGCATGTGCTCCAAAGAAGTGCTACCAGAAAACAAAACAAAAAAATAATTATTTTTCTATCCAGTGAGTATGACAATTTAACATTGGCATCACACAGAGTCCTACTGAACATGTGGCCTTCTTGAAACAATGCTTACTCAAAGTTTTGCACTTCCTCCTTTTATACTGGTATTGCTCTAGAAATTTCTCATCCCTGCACCAATATTTATGCAGAACCTGTGGGAGCAGAAATGCAGGCATGGCGATGGTTTGCATTTTCAACATCCAGTGTTTCTTCACAGCAAGCTCTGTGCCTCTAAGTCTCTTCATGAATAGGTTTGGTTGCAGTATACTTTAAAGATCACTATTTTCTAAACCCCTCCTCAGACCTCACAATGGAGCTGCATTGCTGAGAATACAATGCAGGATGCTTAAAAAAATCGAATTCAAATATATCAGTGTGAACTTCTTAAAATAGCAGAACACAGCGTACACAAACATGCTATTGTCCTACACTGAAAAAGAAAACCACACAAAGGGTATGGGGCCATTGTTTCCTTCAAACAGAAGATACAGTCTAGATATTCAGAAAGTTCTCTGACTCTTCCATGAACTGCCTGTGGTAAAACCAGCTGTTAGATTATTCCACTAACACTGCACTTAAGAAAACCTTCACTGTGCATCTAGTATTTCAAAATAGGGCATACGGGGAACCAAAAACTTATTTTGTTAGCAGGTAAGACAACGAATCTTATCTCTGAGTGTGTCTGAAGCCTCTCTTGTGTGTACTATTACCTGCTGTTGAATGAAAGATCCTTGGACTACATTTGATTCCATTATGCATTGAACATGATTCCCCTCCCCACCTACTTTCACTAATGGAAGAATTCTGTTTAATTCAGAACTTGTCTTAATGCAATAGTCTAAAAACTAAACTGACATGCTCCCAAAAAACTTGTTTTTAAAGGCAGCATCAGAAATGGGGCAAAAAAATCTTAAGAAGCACTAAAAAATCAAGTTTCCCTTAACATTGTTTTCTGCCTTCAAAGAGAATGGCACCTAAGTTTGAAAGGGACATCTTGTCCTTTGTTACCTTTAAGCTCACTCTAAAAAATCTTTTCCAGACAAGCGATTAGGTTCTGTTCAGTTGCAAGATGAATCATTAGCAAAAACCAAAATCAAACAATTTTTTGAACAGCTGAAACATAAAACAATTTTCTAGCAAAGAATGACGTCAACGTGGACACTGCTACTATGAAGTCATTAGCTCAGAATCATTAAACAAGCACTGACCTTACATTTCACACTAGTAAAGCCTTAAAATAGCACTGCTGCAGTCAGCGTGTTTCAGGCAGAAGCTTTGTTTAGCAAAACTAAACTTCACTGACAGTGCTGAATGCCCTTTAAATGTAAATGTTGCCAAAAGCAGATCACACATAGTATTGTTTCAGAGACAATAGTTAAAACCTATTATCTGCCCTTTTGTAATCCACTACAACATCAGGAGGAGGAGGAAGCTCCCACCAGTAAAAGATTCAGCACTACCATTCTCATTGCTTTTATGACTGACAACTTCGTTTGTGAAATGGTGGGCAATTGTTCTCAAAATGATACTGAAGGTACAGCATACGAATAATCTGCAACTTCAGGGAGAAATTTGTTCAACCACCTTCTAACTCACACTCCAGAGAAAAATAAGTGAGCAGACAGACAACTGGGGCTGCACCACATTGTCCTAGCACCATAAAAACCCAACACATTATGACTGTAAAATGAGAATTTGTTAGAACTGATGGGCTCACAAAACCTTAACTGCTTCTTTCTCTCTGATATGTGCTATGACACATTTTTGATTATCTGAATTATGAATTACAGGTTGGATTTTTTTCTTCAAGTGGATCCCCAACTAAAAGATGCCAATGAGAGCAATTTAATTTGTTCTTAGTGTAAAATGCCAGTTGTAATTTATTGCAGCCCTTCCAGAACCTGTCCTGAAAAAAAGAGTCTGTGTCCTTGCACTTTACTGCACTTTTAAGAGGGCCATTTAAGTACCTCAAACTTTAAAACCAAAATAAATCCAATGAGTTGGTGTTGTTTTGGGAGGAAATGAAATGAGTTTAAAAGATTTAACCACCTCCACAGATAGAAAACTGAAGCACAGAGATATTAAATGTTCAGAGTCCCCTAATTTCTAAGTACCTAGTTCAAATCAGGCCTAGGGCCTGAACTTTTTCAGTGGTATTAGGGCATGTGCATTCTCTTTAGCTTCAGATGGAGCTTTAACTGCCCACCAGTTCCACAAATCAGGCCCTTGTTTCAAGCTGAATACCTGAAAAACGAAGCACAAACAATTAGCTGGTCACTAATGGAAACAGTGTGAACTGACTTATTTAACATACACAGAAATTCTGTGAAGCTTTTAATATAAGAAGACACAATTCCCCAGATTACTGCCCACTACCACAAGGCCAAATTCTTTTCCCCAGCTCTGTACCTCATTTGTGATTGACTTTGCTAATTTCCACAGTGAATAAAACAAGTGTCCTACAGACAATAGCCTAATTAGCCATCTATTTCTTGCACTGAATACTTTATAATGGTGGTTATGTAGTGGCAGTCCTACTTTGAAAAAAAAAAAACCCAAATGTTCAAAACAAGTCAGATTTTTTTTCCTGAAATCTACTTTAACTCTTATCTTTGAGATATAAGATACAAGCTGTGTGAAGCAGATGAAGATATCTGCTCTCCTTGGTGAAAGAAGCTGAACTGAAATCCTCTGCCTTCCTGCTCCTGACCAACACAGATTCCAAAAACCTCCACGTATTTGCATGCATGTCATGTTCTCAAGCCACAGAAATTTAGGGGAATATGGCTACATCCATACTGTCTTGCAGGAGAAAAAACCAAACTCTTGAAAAATTAAACACTAATTAAAAAGGAAAAGCACCAGTGAAATCTTCAATTATTGTTTGCATATAAGAAGAAGTCAGGAGATAAGAGGCCCAAAAATTCACTGCATCTCCTCACAGCAACTTCCAGTCAAGATCTGGCCTCGGACTTCCACTGCAGAAATGGCAAATGCTGAGGCCTTTAAGTGGTACAGGGCACTGAAGTTGCTCCTACTCCTTGCACAGCACAGACCACGTAAGTGAGAACCAGAGGAACGCAACAAGTCCCTGCTGCATCCAAAGGTGTTTTGAGCTGACTTCTGGCACTGTGTGACAGAAAGGCTCCAAGACAGATAACAGTCCTACATACACTGAAACCCTACTACTGTTCCTTTGAGACAATTATTTTTAACACTCTTCACTAAAAGGTTGCTAAGTATTTTCCCAGTTTTTAGTATGGAATAATCAGAAGAGCTAATTAAGTCTTGGGGGTGCCACATATTCCATTTTCTCTAGGAAAGGTAAACCCGTGTGCAATTCCTACGTGGCTGCTGTACAACCAAAAGGGAATGAAACGCAAGAAAACCCAAACCACAAGTATATTAGCGAATGAAGACGCCGTCCACTCTGGAGCTGCAGCTCTCATTGCAAGCTGTTAGAGAGGGGTGATTCACAGTGACAGAAAAGCAGCCAACCCAGCCTGTCTCGGCCTGGGGCCTGAGATGTCCTGATGTTAATCGGGGCTAAGCCTCGTCTGTATGGCTGCGCTTTTCCTGATGGCTGTAGGGAGGAGGGGGATGCAGGCGAGGAGCTGGGTGGGCGCTGGGAGATCCCGCTGGGAAGGGGGAGGTGAGCCCACTCCCGCGCAGCGCCCGACGCCAGAGCCGTGCCCTGGCGGGGGAAGGCACTGCCCCGAGCGCCGCTCCCGGGCACACACTCCGGCCCCTCTCCCAGCCGAGCCGCGCCCCCAGCGCCCCGGGCTGCCTTTGGGGCCGGTCCCGCTCGCCTCAGCCCGCACGGCCCCCGGGCAGGCCCCGCGCCCGCCTCCTGCGGGCCCCGCGGTCCCTCCGGGCTCGCCCCGACGGAACCGGGCCGCGGGCAGCGGGGAGGGGGCCGGGCTTCACCTCGGGCCGTCTCGGTCGGGTAGAGCTTCTGCGCCTTGCCCAGGAAGCGGAGGGCGCGGTCGCGGTTCCCGGCCTCCAGCGCCTCCCGCGCGATCCCGATGCACTTCTCGGCCTCGTCCCGGTTCCCCTCCATGGGCTTCTCCTTCCGCCGCCTCCGCCCGCCGCAGCGCAGAGAGAAGGGGCCCGAAGCCAGAGCGGAGGCGGGCGGCGCGGGGCGTCAGGCGGGGCTGCGCTCACTCCGTAGGGCTCATCCCGCCGCTGCCCCGGCGCTGCCGCAGCCCCAGCGCGGCGCTCGCACCGGCGCCAGCCCGGCCGCCCCTTCCGGGCCCCGCCGCGCATGCGCCGCCCCGCCCGCCCGGGCTCCGCCGCGTCCCGGCCCGGAGCGCTGGAAGGGCTGGGATTGCTGGAAGGGCCGGGAGCGCGGGGGTCGGCCGCGATGGAAAAGTACCGAGCGCGCTGCCGCAGCACTGCGGCCCCGCAGGGAAGTGAGGGCAGCCCGCGCGGTGCCGTGCCCTGCTGTGCCTTTCGGTGCTCATTAGCACCTCGCTAATTAGCGCCATCAGTCTCGGCCCGGCGAGGAGTGCTGGCCCAGGGAAGCAGCGCAGCGCAGAGGATGCGCTAGCACAGGGCTCAGCAGCGGCTCGGATCTGGGTCAGCGCCTGCCAGCCACAGTGCTGCGGCACAGAGTGCTGCCTCCCGGGCCGAGCCGAACGCCAGAGCCTGCTCTCAGCACAAGCAAAGCTGTTCGCGGATTCCACTGCTGACTGCAGCTCTGCAAGGCAGGCAGCTTGCTACCCGCAGCTGCACACAGTAACCATTCCCCTCTGCCCTAACAAAAAGGTTTTCCCTTGCCACAACAGGCAGGGTTGTGCTATATGAAATGAACTAGCAGAGTGGAGGAGAGCTGACGGTGTGCCCAAAGGCCCCTGTGATCCACCACCACTGTGGATTCTACTGCATGGCACTCTATAAAGGCTGCTGCACTACAGTCCCTGCTTTCGTGGATGCCGGGCCAAAGCTTTTGCAAGCTGAAACAATAAGAGAGGCCAGGCCCTAACATGAAATTATGTGAAGCATGGAATTTAAACATCCTTTCAGCTTATTTTACCATCCTCCATGACGGATCCTCTCCCTCTATGAAGGCTGACACTGAGCAAAACTGGCCTTAAACATCAGCCTTTTATGTGCCCTGCTAAAGACAACTTCAGCACATGGCACAGCAGGTTCAATTAGGAAGTGTATCTTTACAGGACAAAGCCCTGTGCCCTTTCAGTACGTGGTATTTACTGACTGCAGTACTCTTAGGCTGTATTTCAAGATGCCCCAAGCCCAGCAGGAAAGGTTGTGAGTTGCACGCTCTTGGAACAACTTCAAGAGCTGCACAGTGGAGACCAGATTTTCCAGTAAATGAAAGAGACAAATCAGTCTTGACATAACATTTATTGAGTATTTGCACTCTAGTAGATGAAAAGTCTGTACAAAACCAAACATTTCCTTTACTTAAACCAATCTAAAAACAGTCAGCTCAATTACAACCCACTACAAACACAATAGCTTCTTTGAAGCCATGGTAACACTTAAATATGGTTAAGACTTCAACGCAGAAATTTGGTTTGTTAGAAAGCTCAAGGGAGCTTTAGCTTCTCAAAGTTAAAAAAAGGCAAAATTGTGTTTCACAGATACAGTCCACTGGAATCACCAACACTGGACAAATTAAGTACTTCGAGTCCTGAGATAACAAGGAATCCTGGTATCCTTTAGACAGTCTTCTGTTGTCCTTTCTTGCCAATGAGAGACTTGTGGATATGCGGTATTACACCTAAAAAAGAACAACAGTTAATACCATGCTATTTCTCTTCAACAATTCCTAAACTTCATGCTACAAATAAAATGACAACCCTAATGAACTTCAAGTCTGTGACAGCCACCCAAGCACCCATAAACAGCAAGCACTGACATACCACCACCAGCAATTGTTGCCTTGATCAGAGAATCCAGCTCCTCATCTCCTCTAATGGCAAGCTGCAGGTGACGGGGAGTGATACGCTTCACCTTCAAGTCTTTGGATGCATTTCCCGCCAGCTCAAGGACCTGGGACAAGACCATTTTTCAACAGTTACACAATCAAGTGAGAGCAACAGCACAGTCTTAGCTGTTCAATTCTCCGTTCCAAATACAGTGTCGCTGGTAGTGACACCAAGACAGCAAACAGTGTCTCTTTTCAAGGGGTCCCTCCTCTGGCACTCTGCATTTAGTTTCCCCATTGACAGAGTAAGTGTTCTACAGCAGATATGACATGCTATAATGGCCCATTTAAAAAGTTATTTTAAAATAACACACTGCATTTTTCCTACAAGGCACACTGTAGGATTTCCATGAAATGCAGGAGTTATATTTCATGGCCTTTTGCTCTTTGGGACACTTTGAAAGTGTCTCAAAGCACACAAAGAGTTCGCAGCCCAGTCCAAACTATCAAATACAACAGGCACTGGTTGTTAGGCCTTCTGAGGGTTGACCAACTTGCTTGCACCCCTTGCAGGCACTTTACCTCGGCTGTCAGGTACTCCAGGATTGCAGCACTATACACAGCAGCTGTAGCTCCGACACGCCCATGGCTGGTTGTCCTAGACTTCAGGTGCCTATGGATGCGGCCAACGGGGAACTGGAAAATAAGGGAAGTATGAACAGGCTGTGACAACAGAAAGGCTCTGCACAAAACCGCATTGTAGGCAGCAGAATCCGGGTGGCAGAAGCACGGGCTGCATTGCAGAACATGAGAACCCAGCTAACACACTGCATGCCAAACTCACATCAGCCACTTTCATGATTCCCAGCACAAGCTGTAGCAGTGGCCACAAGGGAATTACCTTCCTCCCAGCACAGATATGCAAAGGTCTAGAACCGGCACACCGGCCGGGTGTGCTGATGTCCGGTTTACGATCCTTACATCGTTCCAGACAACGGAGTGTGAAGGTTTCACACTGCACAAACAAACCAACAGATGGAAGGCCAGCCTGACTTTCACTCCCCCACACCTCAGCCCCTGCTCACCTGCAATCCAGCCCGTTGGGAACGGGACACTGCTTTGGTCTTGGTCTTCCCAGAGTCCTTCCCAGCTTTCCCACCAGCCTGGCAATGCCAACAGAAGAGCAGACGCTGACGTCCCCCAGCGCGCATGCGCCTGGTGCCCCCCTAGCCCCCCCTCCCCGCGCAGAGCCACCCGCGCGTCTGCGAGGCGCGTGCGCGCCGCCCGCCACCGAGCCCGCGCGCGTTCCCGCCCCGCCACCACCAGCAGCACAGAACCGGCCCGGCCCCGGCCACCGCCGCCCGCCCCCCGAGAGCCCCCGCGGTTCCTCACCATAGCGAACCGGAGCGCAGTGCCGCGCAGGGGAAGGCTGAAGCAGAGAGCGTCCCGCACGCACCGAGCCCGGGCGACAGCACCGACCTACCCCGACCCGCCGCGATTCAAACTGCGCCCACTCCCGCCTTCCCCCGGCCCTTTATATCCGCACCGCGCGGCCGCATCCGGGACCCCCGGCCTCGCCGCCAGCCAATGGCCGCGGGCGGGGCGGCCGCTCTGCCCCAGCGACAACCAATGGCGAGCTGGGGCGGGGCCGGCCGCGCGCCGCGGCAGAGGCCCCGCCTCCGCGCACCGAGACGGGGCGGGGGAAGGCGGGGGAGGCTCGGCCGTGTTCGCGTCCGCCGTGTGGGGCTGCCTTCGGCTCGGCGCAGGCGCTTCTTCTGGGGCTGGGGCTCCGCGGGGCCGCCGGCGGGAGAGAGCCTGCCCAGAGTCGCTCCACTCATTTTCGCGGGGCTCTGTGTCGCCAGGTCCCGCTCCGAGCCTCGCCTGTGTACTCGCATGGCTCCAGAGCCGCCGCACTGCCCGCGAAGCTTTCCTCCCACAATGGAGTTAATTGGCTTTGTGTGCAAAGCCTCAGGAGCAGCCTGAAAGGGATTATGTGCCGGGTTTGGGATGAGAAGCTATTACACTCCGTCAGTGAGGACACCAGGCTGCTCAGGGGCGTCGAATAAAGCTCGCATCAACTCCTCAGCATTCCGGGGTGGAGAAGTGCCAACGACTACACACGTGCTCCGATTTTTATTTTTACCTCTATTGTAAGCAGGGGATGTGCCAATACCTAGGGCCACCCAGCCTCAGACCCCTTTGTGTCACCGGATATTTCACAAACTACAGTTAAAAAGCAGTTCATCATTCATTCTGTTCCAAGTGTAACAATGCAGTGCACATTTCCTCACCTTGGGCACTTTGAATCCCTGCCTGTGTTTCCCTAAAACGAAGCCTTAACCCACTTGTTTTTTCAGGGTGCCATTTTCAGTGTTACCATTGAACCTCAGAGCTCAGCTGATGGTGTTCTTGCTTAATCCTATATTTTCAGCTTCGAAAAAGTAACAATTCACTGTGCTCTTCCAGAACACTGTAAATCTGTGTTATCTGAGAGATTTGCTGTTCATCTGTGAGCATGCAATGAGCTCAGGGAGAAACCTTGCCTTTAGATGGCTGAATAGCTCTTCAGAGGGAACATGAGCTGGATCATGCACTTCACCAACCTGATCACAAGCCCACCACTTGGGTAGGGGTAGCTTGTATTTCCTCTGCCTTGATCTTGAAGGGTCCTGAGCACAATGAATACTCTTACAGCCAGATATTTAATGGGAGGCAGAGCAGAGGGCATACACTTCTCATGAGGATGCTTTCCACACCATAATTTTCCCCCTTTATTCAGGTCTACAGTAACCAAAGTACTCGGAGCTCTAAGACAGGAGGATACGTCCTAATCCCTAGAGCTTCACTTAGAGGACTTCTGAGCTGTTCACACAAGTAGTAAAGATTTAAAACTTTGTGGCTCTTCTTCGCCAATGTCTGACTGCAAATGCCTGGTCCCCTGGCTACAAGGACCCTTTGCTTGAATCTCTACACAGCCTAAGGCCACATCGTCAGTGCCTTCAACACCGTCTCAGTTCGGGCTTCCAGTGCCAGCTGCTGTCGCCTCCGGGTGGGGAGACCTACTTCAGGCACATTCGCAGAGAGGCAGGACGGAATTGAGAGCAGACACTCCTACATGCAGGGATCTGGCAGTTTGTTTTTATGTAACTGTCTGCTGCTTCTGTCTATTTGAAGCATCAGTTGTTTATACTCTCCTTCAGCAAGGAAAAAAAGATAAGAGGGTTTGAAGGATTTTGGGAGGGCGGGGTTTAATTTTAAAAACAAACCTCAAGATTTTACAAAAAACATGCAGAACTCAAGATTTTGTTCAGCATGCTGTTTAAAAACTATTTGTGTTCAAAATCAAGGATCC